CACACTTAAACTGGGCATAGTGTAAACATAACTTTTATCCGCTCTGGGAAACCAAAAAATGCCTTTGGCTAGCTTTGCTGCCATATTCGCCTCACTGCCGGGCCCTGGAACCGAACCTGCAGTATTTTCAAGGTATGCTTATAAACATAAATTTCAAGTTTTATCTGGCAAGGAAGACAATAAACAATATTTGAAATAAAATAATAAATTGGGAAAAACTGTGTAACATGTAACAAAGGGTTAGTTCTGTTAATGTGTAAAATAAAACATTCTTCGGATCAGTCAGATGAGGAGTACTCCTATAGAAAAATGTAACGGGGATAAAAACAGGCGACAGGAAAAACACAGAGACCCCAAAAAATTATTAACTCACACTTAACCTCAGTGATCAAAGAAATTCAAATAACCTGTCGTTTCTCTCCTATCACTTGGGCAGAGGGCAGAGATGGTTTGTGTTTTTTCTTTAGTGTTTATAAACCCAGTATTAACAAGAAGTTAAAACAAGAAAGGGTACGATCATCTTTGTTGGGACAGTAAACGGCACTTCCCTTCTGGAGAGTCGTCCGCCTCTGCGTAGTCCTTCAGCACACGGGTGCCCGTTTATCAGGCAGCTCCAGTCCTAAGAATGCATCCTGAGGACGACTTAGTGTTCCAACGAACAGGTTCCTTCAGATATTGAAAAAGGTAACTTCTGTGTGTCAGCTTTTATATTGTCCACGATACATGTGTAAAAATTACAGACCCGCATAAACCGTGGTGCGTTTCTCTAGTGGAGTACCAGTCAGCAATAAAACGTAAGTCCATGATGCAGGCAGGATGTGGGTAAGCCTCAAAGCGTCATGCTGACTGTGAGAGGCCTTATGTAAAAGTACACACTGGATGGCTCTGCTTATATGAAGTTCTAGACGGAGGAATAAACCAGCGGGAAGATCAGAAGGGTTTTTGGGGGGAAAGTCAGAATTGACTGGGAAATGCAAGAGAGACCTTTCCGGGATGTTGGCAGTGGTTTCGGAGGAGTTTGGGTTGCTTACATAGGTGTATGTATTTGTCACAAACCAGTGTCTGTGTAAGATGTGTGCACTTGATAACATGTAATTTTACGTCAAAAGACAAAAGCAATAAACGAATATTGAGATCCAGGTATGTGTGCTGAAGAGTCTAAAGGGACATGTACCGTATCTTCAAATGCGACAAAAGGGATGATTAATGGATGAAAAGACAGATGTAATGAAGCAAATGTAGGCAAATGATAATGGCGGAGCCTAGGTCGGGGGATACATGTTTTTACTAAAATTCTTTCAACTTTATTGAATGTTTGAAATGTCAGGGGAAAAAAAAGTTGTAGCATATAAGGCACAATTCTGTTCTGGACAGGAAACAACCTGACAAACCTGTGTAGGTACTGGTGGTACGCATGCGCCGCACACAGTCCGGAGGGTGGGAGTTGTACATACGCATGCGCCGCGCACAGTCTGGCGGTGGCTGGGACAGACTTCACTTTCCCTGACACATCTTACTGTTTGTTTTGTACCTTTTCTGTAAAAGGTAAATGTGAAAATGTCAGGATTTTGGGTTATTTTCCCTTGTAATTTTCTGTACTTTTAATTTTTTATGGTTAGTACCTTTTTTTCAATTAGAAAAATTAACATTTCCATTCTCAAAAACAATGGCGTCCAAAAGTCGCATGATGCTTTACAAGGTTACAGAGCTGAGTATCTTTTTTAACATTAATTTGTCATTCATAAAAATCCGGAAGCACTTATTTTCAAGAGTGACAGGAAAAGAGAATATATATGAATATTAGAATCCATCAACACTGCCAAGTCGCTCTTCTACCATATTTACTTGTGGCCGTGCAGTTACTGAGTATCAAAACTGTTAGGCGCCGTCCCACGCACTGGGGATGTGATGAACAGAACAGAGAACGCCTTGTACCCCTTGTCTGTACTCACTTCCTGTGACGGAGACAGATAATAACCTAATGCATAATAAAACACTGTCATGGGGCCATGGAGAGCGGAGGTGCTGTTTCCCTTCGGCTGCTCAGAGACCATAGAAATTTCAGTCCAGCAAGGGTGGTGCAGGCAGCGGGAGCGGCGGGTGCAGAGGCCCTCTGGTGGGTCTGTGCTCGGTATGTTGAGCAGGGGGCAGGGGAGGAAATGAAGGGTGCAGTGGCAGGAGCCTGCCCTGCAGGGTCTCTGGGGGCCTGGGTAAGGGCTTTGCACTTCATTCTGAGTGGCAGGGAGCCTCCAGAGGGTTTCGAGCAGATGGAATGACCAACTTCAACATTTCCTCTTAGAAGGCTTGCTCTGGGTAGAGAATGGGCTGGGAGTGGGTAAGGTGGGCAGGAAGGAGTAGAAACAGAGACACTCTTCTGGAAAATGTGGGAGACGCTGGTGCTTGGCCTGGGGCTGTGCCTCTTGAGGGGGATGATTCTGCTCCCAGGGACATTGCACAGCCCATGTAGGGAGAGGTTTTGTGTTGTTGCAGCTGCTGGCTTCGTGTGGGTTGAGGCTAGGATGCTGCCTCCCTTGATGAAGAATGACCCAGCCGGTGCCCTAGTGCCGGCTGAGAAAGCCAGGCCGGGGGCAGCGGGCAGGAGGTGGGCGTGGCCAGGGCGGACAGGAGCCCCCGACTGTGGGGATGGTGAGTGGAGTAAGAAAGGCCCAAATCTGTTTATGCGCCCCATCCCCCATGCCACCTAGTAAGCGCTCACTAAGCGCCCACTGTTGTGGTTATTGTTACAATTATTAATATCCAGTTTGGGGCCTTTGGGAGGCGCTCGTATCGCCTCTGACTGTGCTGCTCCTGGGGTTCGCCCTCATTCCTGGGACACTCTCCAGAGGGGAAGGAACAGATCGTGTGGCACCCGAAGCTGGTCGTCCACCGTCCTGGGATGTGCAGAGGGAGCTGATTTATTGGCTGACGTGAGCCTCGGTCATCAGTGACTCATCTGTCTGCTGCTTTTACGCAGATACCACACCATGGGTCTTCTAATGCGTGATGTCCCTATTTTTAATTTCCCATTTAATGGAACTTTATAATTCAGCAGATTTATAAAAATTGCTTATTTTCCATCCAATAATTAAGCTATTTTTAATTTTAAAGACTGCTAATTCCAAAGTCTGGCCAACTATGAATCTAGTTTTATTAACTGTGTTTTCTCTTGATTTTAGACAGTGAACTCCAATGTGGATGCGACACCAAGGAACGTGGGTTCTGTTATCTTCCTGTCGGGGGGGTCTTGCTCTGTCCTTGCAGGCAGGCTCGGTGATCTTGTGGTCACTGGTGGAAGGACTGGCCTCCCTTGGCTTTGCTCCGAGTGCCGGGTGTGGCTCTGAATCCCAGAGCTGGTTGTAACTAAGGCACCCTCTCCAGGGTGCCCGTGGGAGCCCTTGGTGTTGACGAGCCCTTCTGATTCGGTGGGCTGGCTCTCCCTGTCTGTGTGGGCACTGGCAGGTGCTGAAATCCCCGGGAGAGCATTTCAGCTCACAGAGCTGGGCTCCCTCCTCGCTGGGGCTCCAGGTGCCTTGAGTCCTCAGTCCCGGCCCCTCGGCCCGGTGAGCGCCGCTCCCAGGTGCTGCGTGTGCTGAGGAGCCCCCGTGGGAGACGCTGGGCAGAGGTGGGCCTCGCCGGAGCTGCTGTGCTTCTAAGGGTGGTGCCCCTCTGTTCCTGCCTGTGTGTGGTTGCCCCTTGCTGTGCTCAGATGGTTGCTGTTTCTGTTTTGTCCAGAGCTGCTTATTGTTATTGGCAAAAGGATTAGTCGGTACAAATTATTCTGCCATTACTGGAACGCCGATGTCCCGGTCAATAAGTACATTACAGATGAAATGACAAACAACAAAGCAGCATGGTCTGCAAAGAACTTGGAATTAGACTGAAAATGCGCTTCCTGCAGATGGCCTCACCCCCCGGGTCCTGCCAGTCCTGGAACCACTGGGGCTGCGTGTGCATGGCTGCAGCGCAGGGTGGCAGTGGGCTGGGCCACGCTGTCTGAAGGTGGAGGCACGGAAGGGTTTGCTTGGAGTGTCACTGAGCAGCTGGCAGAGGTCTCGGCGCTGGGGCTGTGGACGGGGAGGGGCTGCCTCCTGGGGTCAGGGTGGGAGCCTGGCCGGGTGTGGTGCCACCATCTGGCATTACCCGCAGCCCCGGAGGCTGCCTCCCAGGAGCCGTTTGCCCGCCAGTGCCATCTCCACAGCCGTGCCTGCGTCCTGGTTCTTCCTCGGTCTTCCCATGTGGCCACCATACACTCGTCTCCCTGAGTGAGGCCTGGTTGTCTGTGGGCTTGTCCCCTCCCTTGGGCCCACCATCTTCCTCTACTTATCCTGTCAACTAGTGGTGCATTGAATGCTTTGGTAGGTGTGACTCCCCGCAGTGTGCCTGCCCATTTTCTTAGAGGGCGTTATTCTTAATTTGTAAAGCAAGTGAGTTAAGCGTTTGACATTTCTCGCACTGTATGTATGCCCTGGTGCCGGGCACCCTCTGTTACTATTGATTCTGTGCTGAGTGCCGGTGGCCCTGACAGGAAGGTGGACAGTGTCCTGACTCCCGCTTGTGCACGTAGCAGGAGGGGCCCCGCCAGCGGCCCGGCTCTGCAGGAGCACCTGCCTGCGAGCATCAGGTCCCTTGGCTCTGACCACACGCCTTCATGATAATTGGAACGATGTGACTGAACTCCCTTGTCTTTGTCCTCCCCGGTTTCATGGCTGTGCTCCGAGGTCGTTCACAGGCGCTCAGTCCTCACCGCTCTCCCGTGTGTACTTTCCTAAGAAGGGAAAAAGACAGAAAAGGCTGGCGTGCCCGGGACCTGGGTGGGAGCTTCCTTCTGGGCCACGCCCCATGTCCCCCCAGGGACTCTGCCCCCGCCGCTGCGGCCAGCCTGCTCGCGCCCAGGCCCGAAGGGGGTCCTCATCGGCGAGTGGGCCTCCGCCTCAGCCGCCCCGCCGCGCCTCCCCTGTGGCGTGCCCGCCCGTGTGATCACTGTCTCTCTCTCCCCGCAGGTTTTGCATGCAGAAATGCGTTAGTCTGGTGCCTGGAGTCACACTGGATTTGATAGAAAAGTAAGTAAGAGCCTGGGCCTCGGGGCCTTGGGGCCTCCTCTTCTCCCTCTGGCTCCGGGGGCACGTCCTTTACCGAGGGGAGGCTCCCCTTCAGGTGGGCGTGCGCGCCTTTCTTCTCCGGTTAAGGCTGCAGCTGTGACGGTCACACCAGGGCTTGCATAAGACATAGCTAATTTGGGGGCCACGTTAAAGAAGGAGCAAAAACGCTGAATCCTTTGAGCGTGTAAACGTGCTCTCGCACTCTGCTAAGGCGAGAACAGATTACTGCTCATTCAGACCGTCTCGCGCCCTGCCTGCCGGTGCCAGAACGTGGGCTGCTGTCCGCGTGTTGCCTTCGGTTTCCCTCTACTGTTCTGCACCTTCCCATCCCCAAGCCCAGTTCCATGTCCCATCATGGAGCAGGTGAAGAGGTCCGCTTAGGAGGCGCCCTCCCTGGGGCCACGAGTCACACGGCCCCTCCTTGGCCTTCCAGGCCGGTGTGCCAGCTCGTGTGCCCCCTGCTGGGAACTTCTGGGCCCGAGACCCCTCTCGTGGCTCTGCCTTCTGTCTGGTCCTCTGGGTGCTCACCCAGTTCACATGGGAGGCGCTCCTTGCATCCTCCACTCTGAGCATGTTTCTTCTGGAATTAACATACAAGCCCATCGTTTTCTAAGTCGGACAGGCAAAATCGTGTATTCAAACAGCCATGGCTGAGGTGAATTAAAATTAGTCAGGAAACACAGACCCTCCTCTAGGTCTCTCTCCTAGAAAGCTACTTGCCTGTGTATCCAGAACAGTATTCTAGAATATCATGTCAGAAGGCCCGTGTGGTGGAATGGATCAAGGCCCCTTCCCACCCATGGGGGTTCCCAATGAGGGGTTGCTCACTCTCAGGCAAATAAAAAGAATGTGGTAGTAGCTTCAGTCGTGCTGGTGCAGAGTGGCCTGTCAGACATGGTGTCTGGGAAGAAAGCAATGGAGGCCAATCCGCGCAGCAGGCTTCCGAGAGAATTTTCAGAACAATGCCTAGTTCTGTGCGTGAGCACACACTAAAAAGTCATGAAATGATATATTTGTAGTTCACTCTGGGAGGAGCAGCATTAATTGATTCCAATTTTTTTCCATCTTTAAAAAATGTTTATGATAATATAGACATGTATTTTACATGTAGAAATAAATCTAAAAGAAGGAATCAACAAAGTATAAATGGGACACCTGCCAGCAATCACTGAGTCTATTTTCTCCTTTTATACTTTGTAAATGTCCCAGGAGATCATGTGACTGGTTGGCCACTGTATCTAGTGACTCCAGGTGCTCTTGTTTGCAAGGAAAATGGAACATTATGACAAGAAAGAGCCAGCGTAACACTGATTGGTGGCAGCAGGGCACGTAAAAAGCTTGGCAGCCCTGCCACTCGAGGGTTGGTCCTGGTCCTCCTGAAGCCAGCCCCTGGTTGACAGCTGCTGAGAAGCCTTTGTCAGAAAGGCAAGCGCCAGGCCAGGAGTGCGGGGCCGAGATGTGTCGGCAGGTCAGCGTGCTGGCCAGCCGGAAGCAAGGTAGCAGGAGCCTTGCGGGCCAGCTGAGGACCGGGGTAAAGCTGCACGCAGGGGAGCCGGACTTGAGGCCATCTGCCCTGACAGACACAGTGGCCGGAGCAGGGGCTGCAGGCCGGAGTCACCGCGGCCTAGAGGGCAGTTCACAGATGCCCAACAGACAGTGTGATCCCCAAGAAACACCACATGGAAAAGAATTTTTTTTATGATACAGTAGTAGCTCTGTCTGGTCAACTGATCTGTTTGGTCTGGTTCCTTGAGATTTCAGAGCTTTGCAAAGCTGTTTTATTAGAACTCTGTTTAGCAGCTATTGCTGTGTTCTCTCTTCTGGGTCTTATTTCCCCCCATTTCTGAGTTCTGAAATACTCCATTAGCTATCCGTCTGTTGGCATATACATATAATTCCTCAAATAAGCCGTACCCATTAAAATTTCCGTAGAGCTGCGTTTCGTTGCGGCCACTCGCTGCTGGCAGTCTTCTCAGACAGTCCTCGGTTTAAAATGTCCTTGATGTCTTCTTTCTGCCTCTCTGTATTTCCGGAGTCCCCTGTGAAGGGGGCAGTCACTGTTCGTCCCACATCAGGTGGGCGGCATGAAGCCCAACCCCAGCCCACACCTCTGTCTCCACGTGAGGCCAGCACCCCAGTTCGCGCTCCTTCCGGGACTCAGCATGGCTGTGGCCACTTCGAGCTGTGCCCCGAACAGTATCACATGCTCAGGGTTCTCCAGAGTAAAAACAGCTTTAAAAATCACATAATTTAAAAATATGCATTCTTTAAATTATTTGGCTGATACAATATTGCACCCCCGCAGAAGCTCCAGTGCAGTTGCTGGCCTGGGAGGGAACGTGGACGTGGGGTTGGATGGAGTGGCTGGAAGCCCGCCCTCACCACCCTCGGCCCCGGGTTTACTGAAGAGCACGGTGTTTGGTTCAGTTCAGCTTCCTGGGCGGCTCTCTCTTGCAGCCGGTCTCTGGACGTCTCCCTGGTCCTCCCCATACTCAGGCCTCCCTTTACCTGACTCTGGTGTCGGGATAGCCAGCCCCCGTCCTGTCACTTTTCTCAGGCTGAAAGTGAGCATGGCAGCTCGACACCCTGAGCACAACGTGCACGGCAGACTGGACTTCGTTTAGTTTAAAATGTTCGCTCTCTGAAAGACATTGCAAAGAGAGTGAAAAGACAAGCCACGGACTTGGGGAAATATTGGCAAATTGCACAGCTGACAAAGGACTTGTATCCGGAACATACAAAGATACCTCAAAACTCAAAACTCCAAACTAAGGGAAAACTACCCAATTTAGAATTGGACAAAGGACATGAAGAAACACTTTACAAGAAGACAGGCGGAAGGGCCTGGGACCAGGCTCCAGAGGGCCAGAGCCATTGTTTTTCCATGAAATGTGCTCTGTTTCTTGGGAAGAAACCTTCACTCTCATTATTGAAAGTGGTTAACAAAGATTGGAAAGTAGAAGTAAACACCCTTACATGTGAGGACTTTGGCGTCTGTAGCATTATTTCCCTCAAGCCCGACTTGGAGTTTGCAGCCACCGGGTCCTCCTCGGGAACACACGGTGTTTCTCTCCCTGCTCGCTGATGTCCTCGGCCAGTGACTGCACTCAAGCCTCCGAGGGGTATGCCGATGGGCGTCTTTTCTACTCTGCACCCTCTCCCTTGCCTGGTGATGCCACAAAGTCAGTTAAATCCTGGAAGTGGGTGTGTGCTTTTTAATTTTAATTTTACAATGAAAACATAATTAACTGTCCCTAACAGCAGGCAGTTTTCAAAATGCATCCTGAGTGGGGATGGGTGTCGGGGAGGGAATGTGGACGTGGGGTCGGGCAGAGTGGCTGGAGCCCCGCTCTCATCCCAAAGCTACTCTTGTGAGACACGCCTCTTTCCCCGGTCTGTCCCCACCCCACAAATACTTTGGCTGTCTTCACACTTTCCCTGGAGCTGCTGTGTGCTCTTTGTCAGTGTGCCCTCACCTTCTGAAGCCGTTAGGCGAGGACTGCACACGGCTGGAAAATCAATATCCAAGTCGAACTGTGCAATTAGAAAGCATGAGTTCTGATTTCAGGTTTGCATTTTAGAAAAGCTTATTGTCAAGATTGATTGGGACGGGCCACCAGTGTCCAGAATGATCCACACTTTTCCCCTCACGGCATCAAGGAAGGTGCTTTCTTTGTGGTTGTGCTGAGGGACAGGGACTGGAAGCTGGTGGCTCTAGAAGCCTAAGTCCGTTGTGAGCAGCCCCTGTAGGTGTGTTGAGGGTCCGAGTGGCCGGCCTCTGAGTACGGTTCAGCAGGTGTGTTCAGCCGACACAGTCAGCACTTCCGTTTGCTGTACCATGTGGTGCCCTGCCTGGTAACCTGGCCAAGTGGGACTGCATGTGAGTGGGTGAACTATGTTAATGTTTTTATACCAGGACAAACTCCAAACTTCAGAATTTTTTACTTTAGAAAAAATCAAGACATAAAGGTCCAGAAGGCCCCCGCCACACCGCCTTAGATCTGTTTCTGAGTAAATACGACTTCTTGATCTCTGTGGCTTACATGAGAGATTCCTCCATTTAAAAGAAAATGCTATTATGTTTTTTTATTTTTAGATTTTTTTCCCCAGTCTTGCTTAGTCTATAAGAAAAAGGAATTTCAGTAAGCAGATTTGGTTTTGTGGTTCCCAAGCCAGGCGGTAATGAGGCCCGTTTGTAATGAATACCGTCTTCCCGGCTGCTGTGGCTTCTACATTCATAGAACATTTCTGGGGAGAAGTCTCATTATTTTCACTTATTTTACTACCACTTTATAGAAATTTCTTCTCAAAATATGAAGCTCTTGGTTACAGTGGCTCTGTGGCTCCTGCCTCCCTGTTTGGCATCCCACTGCACTGGGACAGCGTGGGGCCCCCCAGGCTGGCTCCTCGCGACGGACCTGGCTGCCAAGGCCAGTCCACCTGGGGCGTCACCATGTGGCACAACTCACACTCAGGCACTGTGCCCCCTCCAGCAGGGAGGACTTAGTTCACCCTTTTCCCTTCCATCATCTCAGCAATGTATTCATTTTCATCAGCCAGTTTCTAAGATGCTGTGACCTTTGTCCATCCGGAGGCGCCCCCTCTGCACAGCGCCACCCTGCCGCTGCTGCCTAGTCTCTAATCCGCCTGAAGACGTGCCGAGTGAGTGCCTGGTCAGGTGGTGCTTGTGTGTGCGGGCTTTCTCCGTTCAAGGCTGCCCTCCCCTGGCGTGCGAGTCCCCACCGTCCTCCCCCGAGGGAGCCACAGGAGGCCGGGCCTCTAGGAGGCGGTGCAACTTCATCCGCTGTCACAGCTGAAGTCTGCACAGTCCAGACTCACACGTGGGCTCGTGTCGTGTTTTAAGTCAAATACAAGCTGAAATCCTTTCACCAAGATGTGGAAGAGTAGGGGACATGGGGCCCAGGGGATGGAGAAAGTGAGAACAGGAGCATGGCGGGGCC